CGGATCACATCTCGTCGTATCGCATCGTTTGCCATAGCGTCCGCTTAGAGTCTTTCGGCGACAGGAACAGCTCGCTCAGGGGGGCAAGCGGAGAGAACAGCGCTTTTGAATTGAATTGAATTGTGTAATATATATTATATTAGGGTGGTCCGATAAGTATTTTGCCTCAGCGTCCCATGACGCCACTATCAAAATATCTGCAGCATCGAATCGCATATTAAATCGAGCATAGCTGTCGGTGCTATGGGTTCTGCATTTGCTCACTTTGAACCACAAGCGCAACCGTGAGATCACTTCACAGAAGTGTACGCTGACGCTGTTTGAGTGCAATCCGAAGAAGATTCTGCATCGCTTTGTGACCATCGACGAAACATGGATGCGCTGGTAGACAGCAGAGCTCAAGAAACCGTCAAAACCGTGAACTTCATCCGGTGAACTTGCTCCAAAAAAGGCGAAGACCGCAGCCATAGCCAAAGTGTTCGAATTGGGCTACGAACTTCTGCCCTACCTACTGTATTCCCCAGATTTGGCCCGAACGACTTACTCTTATTTACAAACTTGAAAAAATCACTTGCCTGAAGACTGAGTTGAATAAGGAGGTTATCACCACCACGAAGGCCTACTTTGCAGACCTTCAAAACACGTATTTTTCAATCCGGTTCAAGAAGTTGCATCATCGAACGAAATGCAAACTATGTTGAGAAATAAATCGTCTATTTCCAAAATTTTCGTTGGTTGAGCACTCATCGGACCGCGCTCGTATGCTTATACATATGTATGGTATGTGTGTAGAATAGAGTCGACATCCGTGAAGAGCAGATTTGTCGCAAAGGATACAAGGGTGTGCCGTAGTGTGCGGGCGGAGGTATTTTACATTTGTCTGTCTGCTTGCCTGTCCGTCCATTTGTCTACCAATCGACCAGCCGACACTGCCGTGACATAACAATGGTGTTATTTGTACGACTTTGTGGCACGGCGGCGCGTCTTAATCTGCGACAGCGACAGCTCTCTGCTCGCGATTAATTCGCCTATATGTACTTTGTATGTAAGTATGTAAGCTCTGTCGTTGCTTGCTCGTATCTCTTGCGCCTACATTGTGTTGATCTGCGTTCTTCTTACCTCTTTATTCTCTTTAATTTGGTTGCAAGTTGTCAGTTTTAGATTGAAGAGGATCAATGAGCAGCGATCTGATCGCAGGTTTGCAAGATTCATTACATAAATATTTGCCAAGAGATGACAAAATTGTTTTCCGTTTTTTTTTTCTTCTTCGTTTTCTTCTTGTCATTATTGATTCGGTGCACAAAGGGCGTTCGGTTGGTAGGAATTGATCGGAACAAATTGCAACACTCATCTTGACTTATGTACTAACATTTCCATTATTTCTTATTGCTTTTTATTGTCATTTATAGCGGCTGATCTGTGTCATATTTAGTACATTTTACGCCTTTATTTGGATCTTATGATTGACGAAGATAAGACAGCAATATTTACTCTTTTTTCAGGCTTGACACAATTGCTTTTTTTAAAGCTTCTTTAGAATATTATTGAAGAGTTTTAAAAATTAGAAGATGCATAATTATATTATCATGGACCGCACTATTTGAATCAGTACCCACGACAGTCGGTTCTACCGTTCCGCCAATAGTCGGGTCCGCTTGGGAATTGTCAACTCGGCAACAATAATCAAGGATTTTGAGGGATGTTTTCGGCTGCTACGGCAACAACAAGAAGAGTCGAATCTACGTTGCCGGATTTTATCCGATAAAACGCTGTCAATCCAGAAGTATTTATCAAATTTATTTGGGGTTTGTTCTGTGTGACTATAAAAGCTGTAAGGTCATCTACTCATAATTATCTCGAAACTCGACTGAAAACGATATTCACATTATTTTTTCCGTAGACAAATATCGAACGTTTTCAATCGAGAGAGATTTTACGCATACACTATTCTAATCGCTCTAGACCTATTTAAGGCCCTCGCCACGGCTAACTACTACATACTTAACAGCAGCAACACAGGCTTGGCATTATTTTCATATATTAAAAGTTAGATTGCAAGCTGTAACCCAAGCCAAATTGGAATTTTTCCGATTTTAAACCTCGAAGTCTTGTTTGAAGCCCACGTAACCGGAATGGACCCGAATTTGTATCTTCAAAATTATTCTAGTTAACCCTCGTATCCCTGATGACCTCGATAATAACCAAAGCAATGAGCTAAGACAAAGGAACCATTGAAAAACCTTTAGATCTATCAGAAAATCAGCTTAAGAGAATGGCACGATAAAAAACCTTCGTAATATCATCTAACCCACCACCATCACCACTTGATCAAATATAACCCGGACTAGTCTAATTGTACTGCGCACTCAGACCGAATCGATCAAATTTTTTCCCACATTTGTTTTGAGTTTGGCAGCTGTTTATTTACGACGTGAAAAAATTGAATGGCGATTTTTACCAAGGAAAAAAGTCTAAACGACGAGTTTGCTTGAAATTGTGTCTTTTCAATAGAATCACGGCAAGGGAATCGTTGAAAATATTGCAGAAGTGTTTTGGAGGTCAACTTTATGACGCACAGAAGTATTTGAGTTGCACAAAGCATTTAGTGAAGGCCGTGAAGCCATTGAAAGCTTGCCTAATGCGAGTCGTCCATACACCTCTGTTAATGTCGATAACATCGAAAAAGTTAAAGAAACAGTGCTTGAAAATCGCCGTGTTGGCAGCATATAGATAGAATAGAGGATCTCAACATCCTTTATGGATTGACTCAACACATTTTGGTTGATGTTTTGGGCATGAAATGTGTCAGTGCTAGACTCGTGCCAAAAGAACCAACAATTTTGCAAAAACAGACTTCAAGTAGAAGTTGCAAACGAGATGCTTTACAACGCAGTCTAGACTTAAAACAAATGTATGAAAAATGGGATTAAGCGTTGACATGCTTATATTGGCTCAAGAGCCTATTCTGAAAGTCATAATAAAGATTTGTGTTAAATACGTAAAAATATCGTTTTTTTGGCAGCTCGGGTCAAATTTGATCAGTTGGTACACAATATGACCTACATGATTCCACTAGAGGGCCATAGTGAACTACTAGTAAGACATTTTCATAGAAATTCATTGTACAGACATATCCAAAATCAAGGAACATCAACGTTCTCTCGACAGTCAGGTGTAAGTAACCGGACCCAGACTTATATTCGGCCAAGGACTGTCAACACGGCACCATTCCTCGAAATTACTTCAGAAATGCGTTCTGCCGCTACTACAACAACAAGGAACATCAAGAGAATCCGGAAATAACGTTATTCACCTCTTTCGAAAGTTTTACAAAACTATGACAACTACATATAAATATACATACATATATACATATATATATATATCTTTGTAACGAGACCATATGCTTAGAAATGTTACAACAACAATAAAAACAAGATAGAAAAACAACGATTTTACGAACAGCTTTTACATTCATATATTGATGAGTATGTTATTCTTCATAATAATTTTTGTAGTCAAAAACATTAAACAATAACTCTTATTTTCTGTCCCTGAAATACTAGTAAAATAAAGGATATTTGTATAAAATAATTTTAGTCACCATTTATAAAATATAAATAAATATAAATATTTATTATTTTATACAAAACATTCAACATAATGTATATTTATTTAAGCTGCAAATATCCTAAAGACCACTAAACACATCTGCTCTAAACAGCAATTATGCAATTGAGAGATTTCTTTAACCTCACAATCAGCTGTCAAATTCCACCATAAAAACAAAGTTTTGATTTTGATAATTTTTAGCAACTAATTTAATTTAAACATAAATCAAAATGAAAAAATTACCTGTCGTAAAGCGTGGCATAATGGGGTTCTTTCAAACCCCAACTGGACGAAATGTGGTACTATTTGCCACAAGTGCCACCACCTTGGGACTTTTCGTAGTCAATTTTATACCGCATACAATCTGTTTAAAATACTACAAAGATTTTGTGCAATGCTATCAGTAAGCTAAAATAACTATATTTTTCTATATGTATTCACTTTTTTATATTAATAATAAAAGGAATGGTATACCACGTCCGGTACCCGAAAAGGTGAAGGAACGTTTGGAAAAGGCATTGGACGTACTTCAGTTAGAAGCATATGAACGGAAAATTATCAAACCATTCACCGCTTTTGGTTTTGATCTGTTCCAAGCAGGTAAAACTTTTAAAATGCAAACACATATACAAAATTAAAAGTTCAATATACTATAATGGGCAGGTTCAACAAAATATCGTTTTGGTGGTGCGCTAGGAATTCCGGTCAATTATGCTTATTCAAGCTCACAAGATATAAATCGGCAAGATATACGTTTTCGCGATAAGACTATAGATTGGAACACGGAATCCGGTAAACTCTTGCAAGATGCGATAGTTTTGACTGAGGATGAACAACTATTTGGATTGTGTAAATCTGTACTACAACTGCAAACACATCGAGTTTTATTGAATTCGCTGTTTCCAAGCTTTTCATTTTTAACCATTTATACGATTGGTCATTACTTGAATTTGAGAATGAACTTGCTTGCAGGACCTTTCAGCGTGAGTTACTCAAATATAAAAACTTTGTGAACTTGTAAAAAAAAAATTATCTTTTCAGTTGCGACTGGTGATGTATACTATATTGGGACTGTTCGGTGTTGGTAGTTGGTCTTTTATGAAAGATTTCAATCAAGTTCGTTATGATACGGAAATTGACAAAAAATTATGTGTCTTGGGACCGCAATTTGTAGAAGCTGGAGCCAGTTATTATGGCAAACTTCTAAAGAAAAATGTGGCACTTCGAGAATTGATTGGTGACGACACATACACAGCTAGGGGCAACGTAAATTACTTTCTACGTCAAAAATCTCTACCATTGACAGTGCACAAATCTTATTTCGAAGAGAAACTGCAGGAGTTACGAGAAAAAACACAAACACCAGCAGAAATGCAAAACTAAATTGATTTTGATTTATATAATATTAGTGGTTGTTTAATTTTAAAAATATTATAAGTAAAATAATAAGTCAATTTGTTTACTCTTTTAATGTTAAAATACTAAACTGAATTTTACGGAATGTTTATTATTCAAGCAATACCCAATGGTATAATGAAACTCATTCTATCCGCCAATTCCCCCCATTCGGCACGCTTTGTTTGGAATATAATTATCCAGGTTATAAGTATAACTGACCAAATCAGTGCACCCATCAGCGACAATATCACAACTAAAATATAATGGTTTATATTAAGTTGTACATATTATATCAATTTTAAAAGCGTTGGTTTACATTTCTTTATTCTTTTTTGTTCTGGAAAAAGAGGTGCTCGAAACGCATCATTAAAAAACCAAAAGACGTTGATCGTCCATAAGAATGGTAGAAAAGCCAAGCCAGCTGAGAGAAATTGAAAAAATATTATGCTGCTTGAAGTATTGATTAAATACTCTATATACGTACCTATAAAATAAGTTCTACAAAGCTGTACTTTTTTCTCGTTTGTTACTTTAGAAATATCCATTTTGTTTAATCACAAAAATACAAATTTACTCGATTTTCTATGACGAATAAACAGCTGATAATAAACACAATTATGTTGGATGCACTGACAAGGAGATGCAACAACAATGTTGCCCAATTTTCAGAGCTATGTTGCATCTATAACATAAGTAAAAGTTGCAAACGTTGTTGAGTACTACAGTATATTACAATTCTTTTTTAAAAATTAAATATTGTTTTTAAATGTAAAGAAAAAAATATTGTGACCGCGGAAAAGTTAAAAAAAAACTGTTCTACGAAAATAAAACCGCACAACAAAACAGATATGGCAACAGTGCTCAATCATTTGGTACAATTGGTGTTTTATTGGTCCACGACGGCGTTGGTGAATTATTTGAACGCGCAAATCAGCGCAGATTGTAGCGAACATTTCAAAAGCTGACCGAGACGAATTAAAGTGCCGAAAAATGTCTGAAATTGAAAATTTGGAGTCCTTAAGCAATGCGGATTTGCGCAAGCAGTGCATTAAACATGGTTTACCAAACGTTCCGATTACAGATTCCAGTCGAAATATACTTATAAAGAAATTACGCGCTTCGCTATCGGGTTCGCCACAAACAAAGAAAACTCCACGCCGCGAAACTATTCACGTTTCTAAAACAACCGAGGCGGTAGTCGAGACCAAAGAAGTGAAAGCTGAACCAGAACGGCGTACTCCAAGTAGAGGAGCGAATAGACGTACAATCGCCGGAACACCAACATTTGATTCGCAGAAACCAAGTGAAAATCAAGCATCAGAAAACCTTACGCCAGCTCCTATTGGGGCACGTCGACGATTAACTCGCGACCATGAAATCCCACCTTCGCAAAAGGAACAAAAATTAACCAAAACCTATAATCCTGTAATAATACTAGAAAGCGATGAAGAGGATCAAGATTTATTAATGGCCGCTGAGCAAGTAGAACAAGGATCAAAAACATCGCTAGCTCGCGAAGATGCTAATGTGCGTTCGCGTTCATCACGTTCAGCCTCTTTATCGAAAACGAGTGTAGTTACCACGTCATTCAATCAACCAACAGTTAAGCCAATAGCTGAAGTACCCCAGGTATAGTAATGTTTAATATGAATTAAAATTGAGTAAATAATATTTGAATATTTGTTTTACATAGATTCCAATACGGAAGGAAGTAACTGAAAGCATATCACACGAAATATATAGGCCACAAATAAGTGCAAACAGCGGCCGCTTCAGCTTGCATTCTAACATAATGCAACCGAACATTGGAATTGGTGTAAACAAATATATACCAAATACACTGCACTCACGCTACAGTACAAACACGCTAAGTAGTGGATTATACTCTTCGAAGGCTGCACCGCTGTACAATGAACAGAGTGATGATAATGAGGAAAAAGCGGATTACGAAACACCATTTTTAAGCAGTTTTGCTCGAAACTTGAAACGTATTAAAACAGATGCGGTGGTTTTAAATAAACCCAGCTCTCTTGTAGGAGGCACTGATATAGGCAGGGAATATGTTTCACCCCGACCAATGCAACCTCCAAGGCGATATGAAATTACGGGACGTCGTCCGGCTAAAGTCTCTGTAACCGACTCATTCCGTCAGTTAGTGGTCGCGCTAGATCGAAAATATAACTTGAGACTTTACTTAGTGCTTGTAACAATATTTTTTATAATGGCTTTTATATTTGTTATTGTGTATCAGTAATATTTATGTCAACTTATGTTCAAAAATATTTATGTAAAAGCATTTTAATTTAATTTTCTGTTCTAATTTATGTTGCAACTTGAAAAATTTGTATTTTTTTAAAGTCTCATAGTAAATGTTTGTATGTTATATGGTTTTAAATGTGTAAACTTTTGACATTCAACTAATAGAAATAAAATATATTCATGTGAAAGTAAAAAAAAATATAAATTTAAAATTTTTGGTTTGTTATTGTATTATCATAGTAATATAGAACATTTCTATTTCATAAAATTGACAGACTAGGGTTTTAGGGCCTCAGAGGTGGTAAAACGGCTATACTAAGGCATCGAGTACCGGAATTTCTGAAAACATTTTACATTCCTAATTAAAGCAATTACAATATATTTTTACATTTTACTATAAAGTTGTGAAAACTTTACTCTATTTGCGTTTTGTTTGAAATATTCCACGACGATATATTTCCCACTTGACAAAAAATAAATTAATTTAGAAAGGCACAAATTAACTGTTACACCTGTTAACATAACCAAAAAAAAATGTATTGACATCCCGTTATGACTAATGCCGGTATACGGCATTTGATGCCTTAATATCTACGCACTTATTGGAGCTAAATAAGATAAGGTTTATGTTCTGGGGTAAATAAGTAGAATTTGAACATTTTTTAGGTTTAGATGAAATTTTTAATACTTTTTCGTCAGAAAGAATTCTTAAATTGAGCTGGTGCGCCATCACGGGGGTTCAGGTCCGTCTCATTTTTTAAATATTCTGTAAGATTTGCACTACTTATATGCCAAATTGGCAACTAAGTAACGCATTTTAATAATTTTTATGTATTGAGTAAAAAAAATAAAGAAAGAAAAGTATTACTAACCTCCTCAAACAGGCTTCATCCAGCTATGGGATTTGCATGTATTGTCACACTGTTGATTTTTTTCTCAATATACGGACGATAAGATTTGGGATTTACTGGCAGTTTTTCTAACTCGTCTAATGCGTCGAAACCATCAATTACTCTATTTAAAAATTAACCGTTAATTATAAAACTATAGTAAATTTGCATTCCTTTGCCAACCTTCCAAAAAGTGTATACTTGAGGTCTAAATTGGGTTGAGCTGCATAGGTTATAAAGAATTGGCTGGCGTTCGCATTGGGACCATTATTTGCCATTGAAATCATACCGCGATCAGAGTGCTGTAAATATGTCGTAAACGGTATATTACATTTTGAAAAAAAAAAATTATTTTACCTTCAATGTGTCCTTGAATTCGTCTTCAAATTTTGTATCCCAAATAGATTTACCATTTTTACCGGTGTTTGTAGGATCACCAGTTTGTACTATAAACCCCTTTATATTGCGAATGAAAGCACAACCATTGTAATATTCGCTGGCACATAGCGCCAAAAAATTTTGACATGCTTTTGGACAATCCTCACAGAAGAGCTCAATTTTTATGTCACCCACATCTGTATGTAATGTTACCGACTGTGACAAAATTAACAAATTTATAAATACACATTTAAATGACAACAACGTATTTTGCTTACCATAATGAAAAATATAAAGTATAAATTCCGTCAACAAATAATCGGCGTCTATAAAAAATGAGCTAAGCAGCTGTTTAGCGTTGCAAAAGGAATGATTGTGTGAATTATGGTATTCAAACTTTTTTTTATTAGAAGTGTGTTGTTTGGTCAAGCGCGCTGAATTCGAACATTTTGAAAGCAAAGCACTTGAATACTACAGTGAGAATCAAACTATTACGTATTTATTGCGATGAAAACTAAAGAAACTACTCTAACATTTCGGCCACCAACCGTCGTAGGTTTCGAAAGATTCTAATTGTAACGGAATTAATTTTTTATTTTTCCTTTCTCTATGGAATTATTTTATAACATAAAATAAAAGCTCGTTTGTCAGGCGTGGTAAATGGACGCTCTATACTTACCGTATTCCAACAATTTATATCATACATGAAATCTTGAAAATTTACTTACACTTCAACTATGACAAATATAACTTCGTTTTTTTTTTTTTTTTGCTTTTTTATCCGTTTTATTACACAAGTTCATTTACTTTTTAAATAATTTCTATAAATAAATGTTAATGATTTCCTGTTAAATACTTAGTTATGTAAAATGTTAAAAAATTAAATATACTTCAGTGGTACTGCTTTTTTAGTATAAATGAAATAATTTGCGGAATAATTTAGTTATGCGAAAATTGTGTTAGTTAATGAAAATAAATAAATACACTTTTTGTGTGCAAAAAACTCAGTAACAAAAACGGATTTTTTTTTTATAATCGATATAATAAGATATAATAATTAAATGTGAATATAATTTTAATGTCTTGAAAAAAAAATTTAAGTTTGAAATAAAAATAATTCAAATTCAAAATAAAAATAATTCATGTTCAAAATTAAACTAATTCAAAATCAAAATAAAAATTAATTCAATTTTAAAACAAAAATGAACTTCATATATAATGCGTTGTTTTAGTAATATTAATGCATACATAAAATGTTTAAACCATATGTGTAGGAATTCAATATATAATATAATTCACCTATAATAATTTTTTTTTTTTGCATTTTTTTAAATTTTTAATATTTTTTTTTACATTTTTATATATTTTTTTAATTGTTTTTGAATAAAATACGATATTTTTGCCTTTACTCTTAACTTTCTTACTCAAAGTTGACATAATGTGTGAGCGCCAATAGGTGCTTACTCAGTCATTTATTTTGTTGTCCCTTTTAAATGTGTTTCGAAGTGTGTAAGTTTGTTGTTTGTCTTAGATTTTTAAATTACTTCTTTTGTTTTACGAATGAGTTAGCGTCACACACTTTTTATAATGATGTTATATTAATTATGTCAACTTAATCTTCAATATGGTAAATGAAGTAATAGTTCTCAGAAGTCTTAGCAGTGGATGGTGGTGCCAATGGTGATTTTCTAGACAATGGTTGGACACCCATAATCAAGAAAGTCTCGAAGAGAGATGCGCGATCTGGCCTATTCTTGCGTACACATAAAACAACTGCGTCGACATCCAATTTGTCTTCAGCGAACTCCAACAAAGAGATGAATGTATCCTTCGAAGCCTCTGGGGGAAGCTTGTCAGGCATTGCAACGTACAAAATGTTATTCACAGGGTTCAACACCTTCAAGAAAGCGAAACAAATTTATATATTGTTAAGTCTGATCTTATAAATATGACAATTTGAAAATAAATTTTTATGTCTGAAGAAGCTTACCGATTCCCATTCCGAGAACTGGTTTTCTGTAACGTGCAATTTGATGGTTATACGAGTTGGATTTTCATGTTGCAAGATATGTTTGACCATCTCTTGACAATCTTCTTCCGAATATAGTGATTGTGCATCACTGTTGCTATGTTGTGAATCGCTGCCATCCGAATCAGAGCACTCCGACGAAGTGCGGCTGTGTTCGAATACACTGCCACCAGCTGAATCCACAGAAATCTTCCGAGAGTGTTCTACTATATAAAATTAGGAATAAATATTAATTCATATGCATATGTAAATGTAAAACGTGTTTTTGATTAACGTACCAGTTAAGAGTGACGCCCTATCGTGATCAGTTCTGTGGTGGGTAGGGACATCAAAACCACCACAGAGGCCCTACGCCGAGAGAGATAGAGAAGGACTCATTCGAGACGCTAGTAGCGCAAGAGGATGAGGAGACGGTGCGTGCCTTGGATACACTAGGGAATCCAAGAGCGCTTTCATTAACTTCTCTTCTACTACTGATACTACTACTAAACGTTGGGTCGCTGTAATAAACATCAATTATTTTAATAATATTGGTTTTTATTAAATAATGATATATAAATTCGCATTTTCCAACAAGAAACCAAATTGTAGTGGGAGACGAGTCGTTATAAGGATAATTTCCAATTGAATGATGAAACACATTAGTAAAAAAAATATTTTTTTGTTAAATATTAGCAAAATATTAATTGTAATTTAAAATGAATATGAGTAGTTTTTTAACGGAAATCTCGTCATCTTAGGCAAGTTTGTCTACAAAGATTTATACAATTTTATGATGCTGAGAGTTATTTTTACGATTTTATCAGTTAAGCACTTTGTTTGTACTATTTTGTACTTTGTAAATATTTAAATTAGTGATATCTTTATTTACACAACCTCGATATTGTGGTGGTGATGCACTAAAAACGAATCAGAATGAGTAAACATAAATAAAGCTAAGATAAGATTATGATAATGAGAATCGTTACGAAAGAATCTTGTTAAAGATTTAAAACATGGTAAACATGAAAATTATTTTCTAGAAAATATTAAGATAAGTTAAGTCAAATTAAACTCTTGGACTAAATACCTACAAAAATTAGTAGATAAGTTTAACATTAAAAGGGCTTAAATACATGAGTATATGAACACAAATTGAATAAAATTCAATTCAAATAATTATAAATACATAAGTATATAACAGTGAAGTTAAAAGCGGGTTGGTTTCTACTTTACACTGTACGTTAAAGTACATTTGTTGTACTGTTTTTTGCAGAATGCTTTCGCAACATTTTTAAAGCCACTACTTTTTTAAATATACCAGAGCCTCACAAACTATAGCTGTCAAGCATAAGAACAAGCAAATTCAGCAGGCAAATGGCGAGCTCGTACGAGTTTCTTTTCGGCTGTCAAACGAGTGTAAACGTTTTCACCGTCTTTCCATAAAAGCGGCGTTTTATTGCACGTTTATTACCAATTATATTTTGTTTAACGTGAAAATTTGCCTAAATTAGAGAAATATGTCTATTGGTGTACCAATAAAAGTTTTACATGAGGCTGAAGGTCACATTATCACGTGTGAGACAATAACCGGCGAAGTATACCGGGGCAAACTCATCGAGGCTGAAGACAACATGAATTGTCAAATGACACAAATCACAGTCACATATCGTGATGGACGAACGGCAAACTTGGAAAATGTCTATATACGCGGCTCGAAAATACGTTTCCTCATACTGCCGGACATGTTGAAGAATGCGCCAATGTTCAAAAAGCAAACGGGTAAAGGCCTGGGTGGTACGGCCGGTCGAGGGAAAGCAGCTATATTACGCGCGCAAGGTAAAGTTATTATCAACCATAGTCGAAATGTGAAGTTTTACAAAAGTACTTATTTTTTATTACATTTTTATAGCACGAGGAAGAGGTCGTGGCGGCCCCGGTGGTGGTGGTAGAGGTGGTCCACCAACAGGCGCTCCTGGCGGTGGTCGTGGTGCATGGCAAGGTGGTCCAACGGGTGGACGTGGTCGTGGTGGTCTTTAAGCAAATAGTATTTTAAGTCTTATGAAGTAAGTTTGGATTACAATGAAGTCAATGATGGAAACTGAATATGTTCGCTAACACGAATGAGTACAATAAAACACATTCAAAAGCAGATGAAATCTATCTAGTTATTCAAATTTGGCAAAATGAGAAATTCTCTAATGGTCGTCATTTACCATAGATAATGGTGTGAAATAACACATACATATGTTAAAAACATATTCGCATTTAAGATTAAGTAGATTTTTGCATACACAATTCGCTTTGAAATGAATTAGTGTAGTTAGTCCCCATCGCTGGCGAATTTTGAACAGCTTAATTCTGACACTAATTGCTCGGACATTCACATATTAAGACATTGATTGGTTTAGTAAGCTTCGTTGATTGTCGAATACTATACAAAAAGAGCAATTCCATGACAGTATATTATAATACTTGACTGTCGATGGATAGCTCTCTTCATTTTGCCATTCGTTTTGTGGATTAGATCGGATTAGATCCATCACCAAAAAACAAGCAAACATAAATGTTGATTATGTATAAATCGGCAAACGATTTTTTTCATTTATTAGGACAAGGACATTGACACATACAATTTTGCAAATTTATTTTTATTGCAACATAAACACAAAAATAATGAAAAAATTAGTTTTGTATAAAATTAAAAAAATTAAATAAAACAACTGCTGCGATCAATTAGTTAATATATTCACACCATATGCATCCATTGAGAGAGTAATAACGAGTTTCTCGAAGAAAACGCTTGCTATTAGTGCTGTTTGATATAAGGATAGCATTTATACATTTTTTATTTTGTTAAATATATTGAAAAGGAATTTTATTATATATACATATAATCGAAAAATCCAACACGTGGACGTAAAGAAATTTCAACACACATTTGTGTATAATTTTTTTTAAATAGCATGAAATGAAACTGTATTTTGTAAACAATATTATATTTAGGACGAACTGCGAATTAAATAAAATGCAAAGAAATACGCGATGGTGCGACATTTTATCAACACGCAAGGCATAACAGTTTATTGCGCATTTGGCAAACAAATTGAAACCCGCACTAAAGTTAAATATACAGATATACTCGCACATGCATATACTTTATATGCCCGTTCATACATATACATACACATATACATGTATATTTTAGATAGTATTTTATATTTTTGTATAAATTTTTAGAAGTACATCGTTATAACACATATCAATGCTGCGGTAAACCTTGGAATAATATTTTTCAATTATATATAATAGTTTTAAAAGATTGATAACAATTCCCACTAAGTGATGCCTAAATTTTAAGTTGGAGATTAGATACAAATTTAACAAGCTTCATTATCGTTTAAATGCGCTCTAAAATATTTTGTTATGTTCACTAACTACTTATGTATGGTAAATTGCATAAGTTTTAGTGCAGGCTTTTTTTTACACTTATTCCTACAATAAAGGCTTTATAAATTCATGTACTTTTGTATGTATGTATATCAGTAACTACTTCAGTCTAGTTAATGCTCTATTGTTGTGATCACTGAAGCAAGAGGCGGTGGTCGGCTCAAGTGTTCTCAATTATCGTCGCTGTCACAGGCAATTACTTTTTGCAAAATTGGCAATTCCTCTTTAGTTCAATTACAGCATTGTCACGTACGATAAATATTACACGAGTAATTTTTTCACACATGAAGAGGTGTGTAGATGGAAATTTTCGCATTTCCAAACGGATACTTTTATAGACAAGTATCTAATTCGCTATGTCACACAGTGACTACAGTTGTCAACTCGATTTCCATAAAAAATTGTCTAAATGTGCAGTGGGTGTGCGCATGCAATGCAAATGAGTTAAAGTTTGCTCATGAAAAAGCATTTGATAATTATTAGCAAAATTTATTATGTATTAATAAATTAAATTTGCATGCGAAATTAATTTATGCAAATAATTTTAATGTTTATGAGTTTGCAAGGAATTGAAGAAAAAGTGGCCAAAAGCATGCAAAAAAAAAAACTACTAAACACCAAAAAAAATTGACGTACCAAGACGCCGTATCTTCATTAATGACTGCTAAGGCAGCTGAATTTTTTGAATTTTGCAAACACGCACTCATTTCACTTTTATATTGTATTACTAGCGGCAAAAAACACACGCTTTGGAATAAAAAGCCTCTATATACTTATTCTTTGTACAAATTCGATTAGTGGTAGGTAAATTTCAATTAAAGTTGAAAATACGCAAAAGAGTTATGTTTTCTTTCTTTTCTTTATGTCTTGCGGTTTTTTCTTATTTATTTATCACAGCTGCGTTACAGGCGAACCAAAAATATTGGTTTTTAATCGAAAGCTTTCACATTTATGTAGTTATGTATATTGTTCGCTATTTATTTTAAATTTTGCTACTTAACAGCCAGCGCACGCAAATATAAAATGTATTTATATTTAAAATTATAATTTTATTTAATAACTGTCTTGTGATTTTCGCTGTTCAACGTCTGACTTTAGACTAACAAAGCGCCAAGAATGCTAACGATTTTTATATTTAAATAAAACACAACCCATCCCCTCGTAATGGCATAGGGTAGACAAGTCGACCGGTAGGCAGTCGTGCAAGCCGGTGAGAGCTTGAAAGCTTTAATACGTAAAAATCATCAGCATTGCCACTCATAGTAGCGCACCAGAGCGGCCCGAGAATAATAAAAAAGATAAATAGTTGACAAATAAAACAAAAAAAAAAAAAGAATATTATCTCCCCCCAATGGCTGCACCAGGCCGCCACTCATGTGAGCAATGCAGGAGGCTGTATGTAAATATACGGATAATGTACCTAATTGTGAAAGCGTGACGCGTTATTCGTCTAGCGTTCGCTCAAACACAATGACTACCATATGAAAACACACAACAACTTGTTGTTGCATTATAAAATAATGCAATAGATAAGAATACATTGTGCAATAGTACTGCAGCGTCAACAATTTTACACTCTGCGACAACAAAAAAATACAAAACAGAAAATGTGTCTGTTAAATTTGACGACCAAATTAATGCGCTTATAAAGCGGGAGTTTATTCAAACTTTATTATTGTTTTAGTATAACCCTTTAAAAATATGTCCCTAAAAATGTTTTCTTTAATTTCAATTATTTTCGGAGTTACAGCTCAATTTGTGATGCGCCGACAAAAGCGACTGGCAGCTTGGCGCGAGCTTTGAAGTCGTTTTTCTCTGAACTATTTACTTTTTTAGAAACGATGTGCATGATATCTCAAGTTCTACTCAATCGATTTACTTTAACTTTTATACAGCTTTTTTATACATTATACTATCGCACTATGAGAGGATTACTGGTAGTCCTGATATACAGCACACCAGGACACGCCATTTTTTCATCAGTCCCCACTTTCCCGGCCTGGAATTTTTTGAAATTTTTTTTTAATATAAATTATTTGTACTCTTTAAATATCAATAAAAAAACATATAATAAAACATATTGTAAAAATATTTTTATCGGGTACGAAAAAGAGCCTGAAATTCGGGCTTCTTAACCGGAATACCTCCTTAATTTGAGCAAATGAATGTCACGCTGTCAATTTTGCTTGCAGAACAGATACTAACTTTCTGGTTTTTATACCCTGAACAGTGTATATTAGTTTCCGACGAAGTTTGTAGCACCCAGAAAGATCGCAGACCATATAAAATATATACCATATATACATAAAAGATCAGCATGATGAGCTGAGTCGATTTAGACATGCCCGTCCGTTTGTCCGTCCGCCTGTGTGTACGCGGACTAGTTCCTCAGCTTTTGAGATAACATATCGATCTGATATTGTGCACACGTTTTTTTCCCATGAAGCTGGACATTTGTTGCAACCGCCGATATCGAACAACTATAGCATATAGCTGCCATAGAAACTGAACGATCAAATGCATATCCTTGTACAACAAAATCTAGTCCGTGTATGGAAACATTTTGTATTTGACGAGATTGATCTTCACGAAAATCAGCATAAATTATTGTTAAGAACCACCGTACAATCCTCGAAGAAACTATTAAGGTCGGACTACTATAGCATATAGCTGTCATACAAACAAAACGATCAAAATATAGAAAAGTATGTGGGTTTAGATGGAATTAAAATTATTTGTTGATAAGTGTAATAATACTAATCAGCGTATCAAATTAAGGGACCAGTGCATCTAGAGCAAATTTGCCTAAGAATGAAAGCATGCTCACTATTCGATTAAATAGCTACATTTATGTAATTTAAAATTCACATGATGATGCGGAACGGTAAAGTACATACATATGTATGTATGTATTATGTATGAAAATAAAATGGATGAATTGGCATTGACGTTATAGGCAGGAAAGTCGAATGTTGATTAACAATCTAAACTAAGCTAAATTAAATATCTGGTACACACCATAACACATATATGTATAATATATACAACTGCATAAGCCCATAGGACAGGTGACCACTAAAGCCATATAAATTCCTTTATAATTTAAAATACATTGCACACATTTTTTAATATCAATTAAGAACTTCAGCTAATTGGCAAATTATTATTTTAATTGAATAAGTTCAAATATCAGTTTACAGTCATGCAATGGAGAAAAATACGCTTAGTTGACTTTTATCCATTTTTGTATGTATGTACAATAAGTATCTCTTTCTTTGAGATAAATATAAATTTGTGCGACAGTGATCCAAAAGCAGTGAGGAAGCTGCATATCCGCAAATGTTGGTTATGCATAAACTTTAACGATTTTAGTAAAACAAAAAATATTTGAAGTCAATATTTGTCTTGTATTTTTTTGGTAGATGTGAAAAAGAACTGTATGAACTTTAATTTATCTGCCTTGTATTTCAAAATGTTTACACTTTTCAGCTAGACTTGAATACTTTATATAAATATACAGTGTGTGAGTACACGAAAGTAGAAGGAAAAAGTGAGAAATGATATGATATGATTAACTCATTATATGGTATGCGAGAACCCAAAGTTTTCAAATCAAAACACAGATAAGAAAATGAAGTACTTACTGCATACATACATACTTAGTATATATATTTGTGTATGTGCATATGTACATAAGTACATACAGTAT